GTACAATACTAATCTGACTCTTTCCGTCAGCCTGGTCCCATCTACTTTCAGCCTGCTTTGGTGAGTACAGGCTGCCCAGACAAACAAGGGTTACAAGTGGCTCGTATTACCATACTTCTGCTTCCAGGAGTTAGTAGGCTGGAGTCTGCAGGATCTTGTGAGCAAAACTAGCCCAGGGGCTGCTAATTGTTCCATTGCCTTCTACACAGGCAGCCCCAAATTGTCTTAATCCTGGCTGAAGTCCCAATCTAAATGTTATATGCAATGTTCTACCTACTATCTTTAGCTTCCTCTCAGGATTTGAGCTTATCAGTTACTTTTTACAAATTACTGCTCATGGATTATCCAAGGTAACCTGGAGTTAACAATATTAGCAGGGCTACGTGATTTACGGGTGCTTTAAGAATTAGCAGCTCCAAGTGACAAGCATGGATCACAGACTTTCAATTCATATACATAAGACCTCCAAGCAAGAAAAAGAATTATATACTTGTGGCACTTTGCATTCTAAGTACATGGAAGTCAGACACTGGAGAAGTTTTCCATTGCTCCTTTTTTGCCTCTTTTTTGCCTCTCTCAACAATGTGCTTCCATCAACCTTTCTTGTTGGCTCCTGTGTATTTCTGTTATTCGCAGTAACTGCCATGGCCAGACCAATGAAAGCTACATGGACACCCTGATCCGGCGTCTACAGCTGTATTCCCGGAACCTGGAGCACCTGGTGGAGGAAAGGACAGAGCTATACAAAGCAGAGCGAGACAGAGCAGACAGGCTTAATTTCATGTTACTTCCAAGGTAACAGGCCAGGAGGATTTTCACTGGCATTTTAATTACATGTATCACCTGATTCTTGGAGAGTGGGGGTTAGGATTAATATTAATCTTCTATTTCCTCCCCCTCTAATCTGATCCTGCTAGGGAGGAAAGAAGAAGCAGCTGTCCCTGAGGTCTCCACCCTATGGTGGAGTTTCATGCCAAGATGGTACTGGCACCTGTTATCTTCCTCAGTCTCTCTTCATGCACAGGATCCCCCTTTTCAGCACAAACCTCTTTTTTCACTGCCTTCCTGGGACCACACAGATCTACAGTGATCCCACATCACTGTTCTGTCCAGCATTTTGCTAGGTAGAAGGAGTGTCTCCCTCCAGCTGGAGAGCAGCAGTACAGTCCTGCTTCAGGCTGGGGTTTACCAGTGCAACAGAGGGGCTGAAGTGGTCTGGGTCAGACTGGGCTAGATGGATGATACTTCAGAGTACGGTATAGGACAAGTATTATTGATATTATAATATTGGTAATACCAATAATTTTGGTATTGCATACATTCGCAATAGTAAAACTATCCTGGTATGTCATGACTAGTTTCAAGGGTATTTAAGTAGTCAGGATATTGATTTTATGACTCGTCTTTAAAAAAAAGAAGTGTCTGTTCAATCCAGTTTTGGGGAAAATTTGAAATGATCTGGCTGTGTAAACCATGTGACAAGGAATCCATATTTCCTTCCACTCTTTGTTGTTCCTACCACTCTATTATTGTGTCACTGTAGATGGATCACAGCATTGTGCAACACCTATAATTTTCTGGGTCTCTTTCAGTTATTCTCTTCTAATATCTCCACTAGGAACAGATATTTTCCTGGATTTAGAAATGCAAGAAAATGAAGGTCCCTCTGAATAGATATTGAGGTCATGGTATTGAATTTTTGTTCCATAAAATTATCAGACTATGATATCTCATCTGAAATCAGGATGAGGTGATGTAATTGTCACGGTGAAATTACTTCTGCACTGGGGAAACGTAAAAATATGTCTGCTCTTACTTATTGTGTGGGTACAATGTAGGGCTACATGTCAGAAATTTCAGATTTTCAGTTTTAAACTTGACTCAGTATCCCCATTTCTGACCTTAGCCAAGAAGCTCAGTTTCCTGTGCCTCTGTTTTCTCATGTTTATTAACACACTTGGATTTTGTAAGGCTGTAGTGCATTAATTAACATTAGTAAGTGCTTTGAGGTCCCTGGCTGAAAGGTATTATGGGCATCTAAAATGCAATTATAGTGGCAGTTTTCAGCAAACTATTTGATGTTTCCTATACAGAAAGCAATGATGTGGTTGGGTTACATGAAAAAAAGCCTTTAATATTAAACACAGACTACTCATCCGTCTTCCCGCCTTCTCTATTTCCACAGGCCAGTAGTAAAGTCTTTGAAGGAGACTGGACTGGTCGAGCCAGAGCTATTTGAAGAAGTCACTATCTACTTCAGTGACATTGTTGGCTTCACCACACTTTGCAAATACAGCACCCCTATGGAGGTGGTAGATATGCTGAATGATATCTACAAGAACTTTGACCACATTCTTGACCATCATGATGTTTACAAGGTGATTAGCTCCATGCTTTTGCTCAGTTAACAACCAGGGGACACACAAATCAAATTGGATGATGTGGTGGATTTGGGAATCTGCCTCCTAAGCAAAGACAAAAGAGAGAAAAACAGCTCAAGATTACCTCATTTCAATATGCTTTCAGTGTGCCTGCTTATACCAAATTTTCTATACAGATTCAATAACTGGAATGCTGGATACAGTTATAAACACTTAGATACCAAAAAGGTGTCAGCTACCTTAAACTAATCAATCCTGCTGTCCAGGGAAGAAATGTTTAATCATGAACAAGAGGATCTGATAAAACCTTTCTGCTTTTAACTAAATATGTATTTTGCTATGTCTGCAGGTAGTGACTTCTAATTTTATTTCCACAGGTGGAGACCATTGGTGATGCTTACATGGTGGTGAGTGGTTTACCAAAGAGAAATGGCAATCGGCATGCAGTAGACATCTCCATGATGGCTCTAGACATCCTCAGCTTCATGGGATCTTTTGAACTGAGACATTTGCCGGGTCTGCCTGTTTGGATTCGCATTGGAATTCACTCTGGTACACAGTAGTGCTAGATCATCGATGACAATGTTGTTGCCTTGCTTTTGAACAGAATAGACATCCAGAGAAGATCTGGTCGTACATCATACACAACTGCTCTCCTCATGAAGAATCAGGTTGAAAACAATGTACCTGGAGGATGAGCAACAGAAGTAAATAAGCCACTGGTTTGCTCCCCCATAGCAAAATAACCCATACCCATTCAATCATAGCTTAAGTCAGTAGCTAGGACGAGCAACTGCCATTGTTCCTGGTATGATTATCTAGTTGTGTCAAATAAGCCTTCGCAGACTTCTCCCTCCTGACCGCAGCGCAGATCAGCCATGGCCAGATATGCTTGTCTAGCCACAAAATGCAGGCCTGTATTTTATGCTTTTGGAGGCAGAAGTTCTGACAAGCCTATGTGGGAATTCATATTTTAATTAACCCATAAAATTATTTTTTTCTCAAAGGGAAACTGCAGATAGCTCAAGCAGATAGCTCCGAAGTACTTTGGGAAATTTTATCTTTTTTTTTTGTTTGTTTGTTTGTTTCAACAACCACTTGAACACCAGTTGCCAGGGAGGAGCATACCAGTGAAAGCAACTGAGGCACTGAGAAATCCTTTGAGGCACCACTGTGCACCCTCTGTAATGAAGCTTATTTTCTTTTCCTCTTGCTTCCAAAACTGACAGTTAGTAATTGTTTTGGGGTTTTTTTTCCTGCATAAAAATTGTGTTTAAATACAATTAACACTGTGTAGCCATGTCCTTTTTATGCTCTTATTGGGTTATGCAAGATGAACAGAGCTAGGCTTGGTTTGGAGTGGAAGGGGAGACCACCAGATACTTTGGGAAGTGATGTACAGAGTATTGTCATCAGTGAAGAACTCAGAGCTCCTGCAGGTACTGCATTGCTCTGCAACAGTGAGACACCTTCCAAGCAAATAATGTCTTGATCCACTTTTTTTTCATTCTCTGCATCCCATTTCCAGGTCCATGTGCGGCTGGTGTGGTTGGAATAAAAATGCCTCGTTACTGTTTGTTTGGAGATACAGTGAACACAGCTTCACGGATGGAATCCACAGGCTTGCGTAAGGATTTAATTTTAGCTGTCAGTGTAACAGGACCAAAGGCTGTTGGTTAGTTTGTGACTAAAGTGTCTGTTTTCAGCTGAGAACAACTTATTATCAGCTCACAGTTTTAAAGATTGAGAAGCCCTATTTGTTTTGATTACCAACTGTTTCACTGTCCTGCTGGGCAATGAAGAATTGTTCCTTGTTCATGCTTCAGTGCTGGTAACAGGGAGCATGTAGGCTGGTTCACTGGCTGAGTTCCTCTGGAAGATATGATACTTATGTGTCTGGGATTTAATTTTACTCTATAAATGGTAGATTTTAGTTCGACCTAGAATTGTATTACAGCTCTGGTGTGCAAATACACTGACTGTATATTTTAATTTGAAGCAATTATGTTTTCAACTTCACCATTAGGGAACTGTGTCAAGAGCCAGTTTGTCTTCCTTCTGCCCAGTGTCTTCACATGACTATTCTCTGTATAGGACACTCCCAATTATTCTTTTCCCTTTTGGCATCTTAGTACTACAGATACCACGGTCAGATCAATGCCTATACCAGCTATTCTTCCCTAGATACAATGCTATGTAGTGGACTCAGATTTTTCGTACAGCAGCATAAGTGATTCTCATTTGATTTGACTCTCAGAATTTATGTTGTTAATAATTGGAAGAGCTTCTGCTATAGCACCAGTTTTCACATATACTTAATATGATTATGTGGTACATTTACAGATTGAGCTTTTGTTGTGTCTTTATTTTTTAGCTTTAAGGATACATGTAAATGGTTCCACTATTAACATCCTGAAAAGAACAGACTGCCGATTCCAGTATGAAGTGAGAGGAGAAACGTACTTGAAGGTAACCTTTACCATGTGCATTCATGAACATAAAGAAGAGGGATAATATAAAAGTATTATATAGCTGAGAGTATCCCACAACTTATCAGCTGGGGAACAAGGGTTACAGATCAATTGGTATCACAGTCTCTAGTGGTTGAAGACAGTTCTATAAGGACAATGCAGGCAATGAAGAGCTCCCTAAGTCATAAATTAAAGCAGCATAAAGATGCGGAGAATAAATGAAACATACAATTTGTAAGAGAAAATTGTGGAGTGAATTAATCTGATTGGAAGGGAAGCTGAATCTATTGTTAATTTGGTCATGCTCCGATATCTGACTGTCTGTCTACCAATTCATTTATTTCAGTCTATTACACTTGGCAGATGTCTGTACTTGGGAGCTGATGGCAGGCAGCACAGCTCACCTCTCCCATGGTGTGAGTTTCAGGTCACGGAATAAGGGAGCAGGTGTGAGCTGCATCTCCCCCATCATTATTCTTCTCACATCTGATTTTTAATCCTTTGCTGTGAGCATCAGTTACTGAAAACAAGCAAAGGCAAAGACAGCAATGTGCAATACAGTATTATTTAACTAAATTAACTACAGGAAATTGCATTCTAATCTCTAAACTGTGCTTTCTCTTCTTTGTCATACGTATTTAGGGCAGAGGAACAGAGATTACCTACTGGTTGACGGGTACCGAGGACAAGAAATACAATCTCCCAACACCTCCTTCTGTGTAAGATGGTCTTTATATGTGGAAAAGGAAGAGAAATTCCCAGCCTTTGAACTTTAGCCCTCACTGTTCCTCCCTGGCACTTGTGGTTTTTCTATACCACTCAACTTGCATTCAGTAGTTAAAGGCTTAGCAGTGTATGTGCATATAAACATGATGTGTAAATATTCATGACATGGGACTATGCGTGTGCTGAAGGTTATTTTTATATGTAAGCGCTTAACAGGTTCATTTACTTGTGAGGCAAATAAGACTTACAGGACAAGCTGCTGATGTGGTAAGTGTAAGAGATGGACAGAAAAATGAAAAACATTAATATTCCCCAAACTTTAGTCCTAATGGCACCTGTGTGTGACAGTACGGTGAGAGGATAACTGCAACTGAATGTGCCGCTCTCTGTAATACCATGTTATGCCTGTGAGCTCTTGTGGGAGGATTTCTAGGAGGAATGAAACTTGAGGATTTCGAGCAGTATTCTGCTAGAAGAGGTGGTCAAAGTTACTGTAGTATTGCACAGGCATAAAGTCTTTAAAAATTGAACAAAAGCTTACTTTCTAATACACAAGAGAAAAGTTGTCAAGAAAAAAATAAGAGGTTAATGTCCTGGAACTGAGCTATCATTTTGCATTGTATTGAATAAAATACAGTAAGAGCAGAAGTGTTGTTTTTGAGAAACTATGCAAAATTGAAGTCAAGATAACTAGTTGTGTTTATTTAATGTGTATTTTCAATATGAGTACTGAATTATTTCCTGCAAACTCACTAAATGTGGAAGTTCCTCACTGTCTGCTCTAAACTCTGGTGTACAGTCACTTTACTAAGTGGGAATTTGCTGCCATCTGCTTTGAAATGACAGTGTTTCAGTACAACTTGAAGCAATTATATAAAGTCCAAGTGTTTGTCTCTGGGCTGAGCAGGAAATTACTCTTTTGTAAATTCAGAATTCCTTTTCTGAATTAATATGATCAGTTGAGACTATCAGAATTATAAAATTGGCAATTCTTCTGGAATTCAACTATTGAAAGTACCTCTTGAGCTGGATTACTCTGGTCAGTGATGTTTTTGTTTTCACTTCCTCATATAGGCTGTGACTGATAAAATTGCTCCTTAAAATTGTCATATGTGGGGTACTCCAGCAAAAGCCAGACACACTGCAGAAATTTATGAAAAGGTGGCAACTCTGTTACTGAAGGGCACCTGAAGTTGAATAGTGGAAGTGCTGGTGCTGGTGTTGAGAGCTAGAATCTATTTTGATTTGGAGTTAGTCTAATTAATCTCTTCCTTTTGATGCAAATGATGCTGAAATTTTTTTAAGGTCGATAATGACACAGCTACAGATCTCCTGTGCAGGGACAGTGAGCCGTACTATCCGGAATCACATGTAAATCTTGAATTCTATTCCCAAATCCAGAACCTAAATTTGGTTCTGCCCAAACTTTTCTATCAGTAGTCTGTGAATGTCATGAAGATAAACATAGGATGGAAATGTTTAAAAACCACTGGGGATCACTAAAAACATCTGAATCACTGATTTTTTTTTTCCATCCTGTCGCTTTCAGGGAGAATCAGCAGCGGTTACACGATGACTTAGCAGAGATGATAACAAATATTCTTCAGAAAAGGGAAAACGAAGGGTTCAAGACACGGGAGCTTTCACGGGTAGCTAGCTACCGATCCGGTACCCTGGAATACTTGCAACTGGCCACCAAAGGGAATTCTGCCACATATCTTTAAAACTGGATGTATAGTATAATTCAAAAGCTGCGGCAACTCTCTGGAGTACTTCATGTGAAGGCTGGAGGCTTATACTCTCAGCTAAAAGAGAAAGAAAATAACTTTTCAAGCATCCTGCCATCCGACTTGCTATCAGTAAATCAAACCTCTCCACTGTAACATCAAAATTGTTGGATGACTTCAGTAGGACACATGCAGTGTGATTTGAGGTAAATGAAAATATCTGCACTTGAGTCTGGAAAACATTTTTTTTCCTTTTGGTTAGTTTTTTAAATGTGATAGTCTGTTCAATAATCTGCTTCTGAAAACATTCACAGCAAAACCTTAATTTTTCATGATTTTTAAATATTGTATTTAATTTGTAATTTTTATTTGAAGAAAGATTTGCTGTACTATATTTGAAAATAATATTAAACGTATTATATGTAAACCTTGGATATGTTGCCATTTTGCTGCTTCTATTGCTTTCCCCTGTCTCCCACATGTTTTGTTAAATCAAGTTGACTTTGTTCAAGAGACAACACTTCTGTTATTTACCTTGGGAGATTACTCCAGAAGTTGTATGGTTTCTAAAGCTTATCTGAATCTCTTGGGCCTCCAAAATGAAACTGGAAATCGTGCAATAACAGACACTTTCATATCTTTTCTCCACTTCTGCTTCTGTCTCCAAACCAGAAGTGCAACAGAAATGGAGGAAACAAACTTATCTGAATTTCTTAAACCTCAGAAACTTTCAATTCAACTTTTGGATGAAGTTGCAAAACCAGGCAGAACTCAGGTTTTACTGAAATTACTTGCTCGTTAACTGACACCATGACATTTATAAACAACTTTAAAAAGCAACCCAAGTACAGGTGACACACGTAAAAGAAAATCAGCATTCACATGAAGAAATAACAACTAGCAAGTGAAATTGTTGCAAAGACCTTTTGTGCATTGGTGACTTTCAACGCAGAGTTAGTTCTTTCACCATTGTAAAATATTGGCAGTATTCAAACCATAAAACGTGATGCAAAATCATTCTTTTATGGCTTTGAACTGCATTTTTGTTGAAGAAAACAACCTAAAGATGTTAAAAAAGAGCAAGCCGGTTCCCTGTGTTTTTTCATTATCAACCTAAACTGGCTTTGTAAGAACATGCACAGAAAGAACCACCTAGGTGTAAATAGACAGATCTGAAGTGCAAAGATTCCTGGAAAAATTAAATCAGGAGGTGGCGTAGGGCTTATACTCTTGCCTAATGAATGCAAATTCCTACACCCAGGAACACGACATAGAAATAGCAGATAGCATGTAACCAACAGCCACAGCTTTCAGATGACACGTAACCAATCTTAAACTTGGACTGGTGCTAGTACCATACCATTACTTCTTCAGTCGGTGTCCTAATGGAAGTGTTCATTGGGATAAGGATAGAAAAAATGTCTAGTATTCTAAAACTGGTATGTATTAAAAACTTCAACCAGTACAGTAAAAAAGTATAAAGTCTGATATTTCCTGCCCCGCGGTGCCAATCAACAAGCTTCATCTCTATGTCTGCATTCTTGGGTGCAACTGTTGTGCTTTTGGCACCACTGGACTATTCCGGTTGCTGTATCTGATATGCTCAGCAAGCGTAGCTGTAATGCAGTGACAAACACTGGACTCCTCAAGCTTGAAGACGCCCACTATTACTACTACTACTACTATCTTAAGCAGAGTTGCTCTGAACTTTGAAGTGACCTAAGTCTATATTAAAAGGGGAGTTTTATGGGTTCTATCCTTGACACCTCTGAAATACAAATTATTTTAGAGCAAATGTCTGCTGACACTGATTGGGACAATTAATTTAAACAGTGTTTAGTTTTATGTAGCCCTTCTCTTTCCTGCATTCTTCAGATCATAAATTTCACATAATTCTTTGAAGACAAATAGTTACTTTTGCAATGAGTTGATGGACCCATCTTATGCTAGGTTTGCTTTCAAACATGGTTCTGTTTTACATGGTTCTGTTCCTGCAATACATCACAACAAAATCAATTTTGACTACCCTTCTTAAAAATTTGCTCCTAGTTTCTGGTTTGAATCTGTCTTAGATTCATTGCCTTACCACTGCATCTTGTTACCAAATGTTAGATCAAAAAGCCTGCTACCATCAGAAATCTGTCACTGAAGGTCCAGTCATTCACTGCTCCTGTTTTTTTTAAGCAGTGAAATGTTACACTAAAAACCTAGTGTGAGATATAATTTTGTTCTCTGAGTGGAAAGGATTTTGGCTGCACCGTCACCATTTGAACTTAACTCACACAAAAAAGATTTCTGTGAATCCCTGGGCTGGGAACATGTGGAAGTTAATGTTTCCAAATACACATCAAGAGCTTTGTAGCTTTGGTCATATTCAGACTCCACCCTTGTCTCTATCTCATTTTTGTCACGCATCTGCACTCCCCTTCTGTTTCAGCATTGTGTATTTGTGGTCTCTATCCTAGGCTGCATGTGCCTCTAATTCCTGGCCATGCCCATCACTTGTGCACAGAGAATCTTGTTGTAAATACTTCTTTTTTCCCCTGTGGTAATCCTATACAGGGAAATAGAATTTCGTATTTTACTTCACCAACAGTCAAACTGAGGGCAGCATGTGACAGAGGTGAATTTCTCATTTAGAAAAACCTTTGGAAAATATTTGTCCAAAACAAGCACAGCATCCATTTATGATTAGACACTTAAGAGTTATTTTTCACTGGAGAGGCACAAAAACCTCCTAACAGCACTGTGTTTTATCCTTATCTCTTAGTGAAACATAGCCCAGAACAAAACAGCGATGAGTATGGCAGGATCCCTGCCGCTGGGAGTAGTTTTAGTCCTCTTACCCTGGGCTTGAGGCCAAGTCGTGCTATTTGGCCTGAACTGGTTGGCATGTGACCTCGGTATATGAGGCTATTACAGTCACCGGTATCAAATTTTAACTGTATCTTAAACAATTACCAAAACACAAAGTCCTAATAATGGCTGTTTTAGGACAGTGGGAGAATATCGCACACTGGAGGAGAAGACAGCATCTCAAAATTATCTGAAACATGGGGGCAGAGGAAGACCCCACGGGAATTTGTCCCTATCTGTAAACTCTAAGAAAAGGACCGTCTCTCAGCTTTTCTGCTGGGGGACACAGTTGTTGCTCTCAACAGGGCCAAAAGCTGCTCTTCCTCTGATGTAAAACGCAGTTTGATAAGACACCACCTAACTCCTGTTGCTTTATAGGGGCCTTTCCTGATAAAACTGTAGCAAAAAAGATAGGCCTCTAACGAAGGCCTACTTATATGTGTTAAGAAA